TTAGTACAGTGACTCTGTGTGTTCCTTCCATATTCTTTTGATGCTTCCTGCGTTGTTTAATATTTTCCCTGTAGAATCCTTCAACATTGCAACTCAAGGCTTGAATTTTCCCTTTAGTTCTTTCGGCTTGAGAAATGTCAACAGTGTTCTTCCCTTTTGGTTTTCTAACTCTAGGTCTTTGCACATTTCATTATAATACTTATTTCGTCTTCTCAAGCTGCCCTTTGAAATCTTCTGTTCAGCTCTTGTACTTCATCATTTCTTCCATTCGCTTTAGCTACTCTGTGTTCAAAAGCAAGTTTCAGTGTCTCTTCTGACATCCATTTTGGTCTTCTCTTTCTTTCCTGTCTTTTTAATGACCTCTTGCTTTCTTCATGTATGATGTCCTTGATGTCATCCCACAACTCATCTGGTCTTCGGTCATTAGTGTTTAATGAGTCAAATCTATTCCTGTAAATGGTCTCTAAATTCAGGTGGAATATACTCAAGGTCATACTTTGGCTCTTGTGGACTTGTTCTAATTTTTTTCAGCTTCAACGTGAACTTGTATATGAGCAGTTAATGGTCTGTTCCACAGTTGGCCCCTGACCTTTTTCTGACTGATGATATTGAGCTTTTCCATCATGTCTTTCCACAGATGTAGTTGATTTGATTCCTGTGTATTCCATCCGGTGGAATGCATGTACTGTTGTGGCTTGCATGTTGCTGTGATGCTGGAAGCTATGACACCAGTATTTCAAATACTAGCATGGTCACCCATAGTCACCATTTATGTTGTTGAAAAAAGGTATTTGCAACAGAGAATTTGTTGGTCTTGCAAAATTCTGTCAGGTGATCTCCAGCATAATGTCTATCACCAAGGCCATATTTTTCAATAACCGATCTTCTGTGTTTCCAACTTTCGCATTCCAATCACCAGTAATTATCAACGCATCCTGATTGCATGTTTAATCAATTTCAGACTGCAGAAGTTGGTAAAAATCTTCAATTTCCTCATCTTTGGCATTAGTGGTCAATGCGTAAATTTGAATAATAATTGTATTAACTGGTCTTTCTTGTAGGCGTTTGGATATTATCCTATCACTGACGGCGTTGTACTTTAGGGTAGATCTTGAAATGTTCTTTTTGACGATGAATGCAACTCCATTCCTCTTCAAGTTGTCATTCCCAGCATGGTATAACATTAGCATAACTAATGCCTAGGATATGGATGTTTGCGTGTTCCATGTCATTTTTGACGACTTCCAATTCTCCTAGATTCTTACTTCGTACATTCCATGTTCCGATTATTAATGGATGTTTGCAGCTGTTTATTCTTGTTTTGATCATGCAAATGAAGGTCCTGAAAGCTTCACTCCATCCAGGTCATTTAGATTGACTCTACTTTGAGGAGGTGACTCTTTCCCAGTGTATTTTGAGTGCCTTCCAACCTGAGGGGCCCATCTTCCAGCACTGTATCGGACAATGTTCTGCTGCTATTCATGAGGTTTTCACTGGCTAATTTTTTCAGAAGCAGATTGCCAGGTCCTTCTTCCTAGTCTGTCTTAGTCTGTAAGCTGTGCTGAAACCTGTCCACCATGGGTGACCCTGCTAGTATTTGAAATACTGGTGGCATAGCTTCCAGCATCACAGCAACATGCAAGCCACAACAGTACGACAAACTGACAGACATGTGAGGGAGGCAGAGATAGAGGATGAGAAATACCCTGACTTCTCTACTCCTAGTTCTAGTCTTCTGCCAGTGCCTTCCATTAGCCTAACATAATGGTAAGCCAGTGAGCTAAGGAGGCTGGGAAAAGGGGTCCTTGTGATACAGACAAGGGAAAGATGAGGGGAATGGATCTGAAAGCAAAAAGATGAATAATGGCAGAACTGCCAACAACTTGGGCTTCAAGTCCAGTAGGAAAAAGGGTGCAAAAGAGGTTCCTGCAAATGTCCTGTGTGGCTTAGATCACGTGGGCACCCCTGAAACAATTATAGTGTTTAGAGCAATGCAGTGCACTGATTGGTTTATGACTGGGGCTGAGAGTGGGGACAGGCAGAAGGGGGAAATGCATGGTGGAGAGGTAAGCTGCAAATGTCCACTCCTGGCTAAACCACCTAGAGGGCTGGTCTCTGGGATGATGAGAACCAGTGACTTGAGTGTCATCTCAACTCTTTCTCTCCTTCTCTTGTATGCTTTTTCCTCTTAGTGTTACTTTCTTGGGCCTCCTGTCCTCCATGAGGCTAAGTCTAAGGCTTAGGCAGCTCCAGTTTATCATCCCTTTGGCTAGATGAGAGCTCTTCCTTGACAGCTCCAGTTAGAAAAAAATCCTGGGGCAGAGCTTGATCAGCTGGCTTTCATCATGTGCCCAACTTTGGGCCAATTGCTATGGTCCAAGTCATAGGGCACTGTGATTGGCTCAGCCAGAGTCACATGATTACCTCCGTGGACCAGAGAGCAGGGTATGTGTCTTAGTCATCTAGCGCTGCTATAATAGAAATACCACAAGTGGATGGCTTTAACAAAGAGAAGTCTATTCTCTCACAGTCCAGTAGGCTACAAGTCCAAATTCAGGGCATCAGCTCCAGGAGAAGGCTTTCTCTCTCTGTCGGCTCTGGAGGAAGGTCCTTGAGCACAGGAACCTCAGGTCCAAAGGACTCATTCTGCTCTTGGCACTGCTTTCTTGGTGGTGTAAAGTTCCCATGTGTCTCTGCTCGCTTCTCTCCTTCATATCTCAAAAGATTGGCTTAAGATACTATCCAATCTTGTAGACCTCATCAGTATAACCTCATCATAGTGATAGAGTTTACAACACATAAGGAAATCACATCAGATTTACAAAATGGTACACAATCATACAATACTGGGAATCATGACCCAGAGAAGTTGACAGACATTTTGGGGGGACACAATTCAATCCATGAGAGGGGGTGACTGTGTGGTGTCTCCTGGGCTGTTGAGGTGCCTTGGTGGGTGTTTAGGACCCTTCTAAGCCTTACCCCCTCCTCCCCCCAGTTCTCATCCACCTAGCCACAGGCTTCATGATGCTGGCTCTGGGCTTGTGCCTAATCCTCCTCCCCTGCATGGGTTTCTCCTTCCGGCCATCCTTCCGCCGCCTTACCAAAATCGACCTCGTCTTCAGTTTCCTCAGCATCAGCATTGGTAATTGTCAGCTCAGTTAAAAACGTACTCTCCCTGCTCCCAGCATATCTCCCTGGGTTTCCCTGACTCTGGGGAGGTGGCACCAGAGCCTCTGTCTTTGAGCGTCTCTTGGGATCTCTGCCCTACTCTCTCTGCGTGTACATAAGTTCTACTCTGTCTCTGTCAAGGTATGTGTGTGTGTAGGGAGTGTGAGGGGTGTCTCTACTTCCCTCTCTATCTTATTTTCTCTCTTCAAGTATCTTTCTGTCTGATGCAGGGATGCGGGCGCTTCTCTCTGCTTGTTATGGAGGGTGGAAGAGGGGTCCTGGGGGTCCCTGTCCAGTCTTCTGTCCGCCTCTGGCCTCACCCTAGTGCAGGGCTCCTGATTCTCCTCAGCCTGATGCTCTTAACAATCAACTGCCACACGCTGCACCCGAAGCCACATATAACCTACACGGCGACTTTTTACCTGTGCTTCAGCGGCAGCGCCTTGATGCTGTGGGCTGGTGAGGGCAGGGCCTCGGGAGGAAGGGCGGGACCTACGCAGGAAGAAGGAGGCCTCGTAGGACAGGGGGCAGGGCCTTGGGAGGAAGAGGCGGGGCCTTGGGAGGAAGAGATGGGGCCTCACAGAGCAGGAGGTAGGGCCTTGGGAGGAAGAGATGGGGCCTCACAGGGCAGGGGGCAGGCCCTGGGAGAACGGGAGGCGGCGCCCTAGGTTAGAAGGCGATGGGTCGGAGGGCAGGTGGGCCATAAGGGAGGGGCAGAACCTGGGGAAGAGACGGGGCCTGGGAGGGGCTCGGAGTCGAATGCTCCCCTCCAGGAACCCTGTCCTACTTGAATCACTTGGGTATGTGGAGCGAACAGGAGCCCTCCAAGGAGTGGCAGATGAGCAACCGCCGGAGGGCCTCGAGGCGCATGTCTAAGCAGCGGGGCTCAGAGACATCCGTGTGACTACCCTGAGCCTGTTCACTTCAGTCAGTATCCTGAGGGAAGCCCTAAGCTTCTCCAAGGGCTTGAGCGTCTCAGAAGAACCCTGACCGGTAACTGCAGCCTTCAGCGTGACCACGTCCCTGAGGTTAGGCGACTGCCCACAACTAGGGGCCCAGCACCTCCTTTGAGGCCCTGCTCCTTGAAAACAGGCCACGCCCCCCCAGGGGAGATGACGAGGCCCGCCCTTCTACCTAGGGCCCGCCTTTGACGCTCTGGCCCCGCCTACTGAATACTCACCCTGCCCAATCGTCCTGCCAGCCCGGGGTGCTTTTGCGTGGTTCCACCCCTAGCCTAGCTAAGCCCCTCCTCCGGACGTCCAGCCCTCTCAAACCACGCTCCCGAAGCCAAACTCCATCCTTCCAGACCCAGGTTGACCCCATCCGTACTCCCTGCGTACAGTACCAGCCCTGCTCCGGTGTCCCCTCGGCTCCCAGGCGGACTTGACCCTGCTCAGCATTTGATGAAGCCCGCCCATCTGCAGAATAAGCCCCTCTCCTCTGGGAGGTGGGTCTTGCTCTAACTTCTCTCTCCTTTCCTGGCTTCACCCCTCCCCACAATAAAACGTGGGCACCAACCAGCCTCTCAGACTTTGGGCCCTTTATTGCCCTCCTACCCTTCAGGGCAGGGTCGGGCCCAGCGCGTGCTAACTGGTCGCCTCCCTGCCCTGCCCTGCCCGTTTGGGTCTGCGGCTTTCCCTGCCTGTTTGCGCTTCTCTCTGCCCCTTCCTTTCCCTTGCTGCACCTGACTGCACACCTCCGGACGCGGAGTCCCCTAGCTTCAGACAGGTGCATCCTGAGCCTCCAGGGGCCCCAGTCTAGAAAGGCCAATGACGCCACATATTGCTGAGTATTCGATTTTACTGGGGGAACAGGCGAGGCGAGGGCATTCAGGGGTTGTTCTCCATGGTGTCATTGATCCATTCCTTGTACGAAATCACTTTGGTGAAGACAGCTGGCATATTGGGAGTGCCACATGGGTCGTGGCCCCATGACGTGATACCCTGCAACATGTCATTGCAGACCAGTGGGCCGCCCGAGTCACCCTAGGCGCACATGGGGGAGAGTGAGAAAGGTCAGCAGGACCCAGGTCAGGCCTGTGGACCCCCAGCTCTCAGACCTGGGGTTGCAGATCACAGACAGTTACTGCCAAGCTATGGGGAAAGAGACACTTGTCTCCAGAGTCCACCCCCAGAAGAAGATAGGCGAGGCGTCCAAAAGAGGGGGCAGTGGCTGGAGTCCTGGCCACTGAGGATGGTAGCACTTCAGTGTCCAGTTTCTGCCCAGGAGCAGGGTCCAGGAGACAGTCACTGCAGACGGGTCAGTGGGAGGGTGGGCAGGACCCATCTACATGACCCTCCACCCTCAAGGCTCATCTCAGATGCCACCTCTCCCAGGAAAGTTTCCATGACTAGACACCTCACGCCCAGGGCACTGGAGAGCCATAGAAGGACTGTGAGCAGGGCAAGAGCAAGGTCAGTTCTGAGTGTGGAATTACCCACTGGGGACAGGTGGGGATGGACTGGGGGACGAGAGGTACTTAAGGCTGGGAGAGGGTCCAGGTGAGTACAGAAAAGCCTGACCTGGGGCTACGGCAGTGGGATGGAAAGGAGGAGACAGTCAGAGAATCGGGGCAGAAGGGACCAGGCTTTGGGATTGATTCACTGGGGGAGGGGAGGGATGGAACGGTCCAGTGATTGGGGGACTGGGGAACCTGGGGTGGAGGAAGGGCAGGTTTGGTGGAAGCCACTGGGCTCAACTGGGACCTGGTGAGTATTTAGGGTGGTTGGCTGTGTGTGTGTGGGGGGGGGGGGGGGGGGGGAGATGCAGTGTAGATGTCTCCTTGGAGGTGCACAGCTATGACTCAGGACAAAAGCTTGAGGTCATTCTTGACTCCTTTCTGCCTCTCCCTCCCCACTTGCAATTGGTCAGCATAACCTATGGGGTCTCTGTCAAATGTAGAGAGAATATAACCCCTTCTCCCACTGTCCCTGGCACCACTCCAGGTCCAGCCCCCATCATCATTCACCTTCATTGGCTCCCTACCTCTCCTCTCTCCCTGTGGTCTGTTCCCCACACAGCAGCCAGAGGGAGCTGTTAGCACCCAAGTTGGATCCTGTCCTACCGCTTATCACAGTCCCAGAGCTTCTGTTTCATTCTGAGGAAGAGCAGAGTCCTCACTGTGGCCCATAAGGTCCTGCAGAATCTTCCCCCTTTTTCCTTCTCTGACATCATCTCCTGGGCTCTCCTCCTTCATCACTTAGCTCCAACCACAATGGATCCTCACTGTTTCTCAGACACACCAGGCCCACTCTGCCTCAGGCCCTTTGCACTTGCTGTTCCCTACATCCTTCCCCAGGATTTCCACATGGCTCACCCCTCACCTGCTCCATGTATTTACTCAGTCTCCCTTGTCCATGGGGTCTCTTCCTGACCCGGTCATTTATGCCCCCAGCTCTCCTATCTCTCCTCTCTGCCCCCACAGCACATCTCACCTCCTGACAAAACCAAAAAAAAATAAACCCACTGCCATTGAGTCGATTCTGACTCCAAGCCACCCTATAGGACACAGCAGAACTGCCCACAGGGTTTCCAAGGCTGTAGATCTTTACGGAAGCAGACTGCCACATCTTTCTCCTGCCAACTCCTGACACATACTATCATTTATGTGTTATGCTTATTGTTGCTGTCTGTCCCCCCTCACCAGAACAGCAGCTCTGTGAAGGAGGGACTTTCTATGTTTTGTTCACTGCTGTCCTCCCGGGGTCTAGGACAGTGCCAGGCACATAGTAGATGCTCAGTAAATATGCGGTAAAGGGAGAAAAGGATGAACTATGATGTGGAGGAGTGAGATACAGGTGGTACCTGAAGGAAGGTGTGGGGAGGGAAGGGGGTTATAGGGGAGGGAGCTGAGGCACTGGGGGGCGGGGTGCAGCTGTAGCTGGGAAGCAGTGGAGACAGATGCCTGCTTAGCTTTTGGACCCTAACCTGGAATTTGGGTCCGCTCCCCTTGTCCTGCTGGTGGGAGTCGGGGAGGGGAGATTAACTCACCACACAGGTGTCTTTGCCGCCCTCCATCTGCCCAGCACACAGCATATACTCCGTTACCTCCTGGGAGTGGGCACTGGCACACACATCATTAGACAAGAGTTTGAGGTCCACACATTGCATATCATCTGGGTATGATTCTACAGGCCAGAGAGAAACAGGGCTGTGTCTGGACCCACCTTGTTCCTCAACCAGGTCCTCCCTCAGACCCAGGTGCCTCAGCCACCTCCTCCCTCAGACCCAGGTGTCTCAGTCCCCTCCTCCCGGGGAGTCTCAGCCCCCTCCTCCTCCCTCAGGCCTAGGAGTCTCGGCCCCCATCCTCCTCCTCCATCAGACCCAGGTGTCTCAGCACCCTCCTCCCTCAGACCCGGAAGCCGCAGCCTCATCCTTCAGACCCAGGAGTCTGGCCTCCACTCAACACGGTTGGTCCCGTGCGTACTCCCATCTGGATCGATGCTGCCCCAGCCCGAGGCGATGCAGGTGCTCCCCACTACAGGCTCTGTGGTGGGCAGGGCCAGGACCTTGACCGCATCTGTGATCTGGGCGGGCTCCTTCAGACGGAGCAGCATGATGTCGTGGCTGTAGTCCGCTCCTGGATAGAGGGGGTTGTTCTTCAGGAGGCTGATGTTGTAGTCTGGGTGTGGGAAGCTGCCGCTGACTTGGGCATACTGGGCTGTCTCTTCAGGCTCTTCCAGGTTGTGGATGCCCAACCAGAGCTGGTAATTCCTGGGGAGAGAGGGGAGAGATGGAGGGAATTGAGAGGAAGACAGGAGGGGGAAGGGACACGGGGCAGGGAGCATGAGGAAGGGGGGAGAGAGAGAGAGAGAGAAGAAGGAGGAGGAAAGATGTAGTCAGAGAAATAGAAGGAGAATACAGAGACGTGTAAAAAACAGAAAGATGGAGTGAAAAAGTTTAAGTGGATGGAGGGAATGAGGGGGCAGAGGCGGAGGATAGTGAGAACTGGAGGAAAAAGACAGAAAGAAACAGAACAGAGAGAGAGAGAAGGGGGAGTGAGGCAAACAGAACAAGGAAGGGGAGTGAGACATAGACAAAATGGGAAAGGGGCAGAGGAAGAGAGAGAGAATGAGAAATAGAGGCAGAGAGGAATGAGGTGGTGGCCGAGTGTGAGAGAGAAGGAAAGGGAAGCAGGACGGGGGGGGGGGGGGGGGTCAGGTGGAGGAGGAGGGGGAAGAGCCTGAGACCAGCTCAGCTGCAGCTGTGACAGTTGTGCTGGTTTCCCAGGAGGCAGGGGCCTGGCCCCAAGCCCAAGGTCGGCTTGGCCCCTTCCCTCCCCAGCCACTCTCCCTCCCTCCCCTTTCTCTTTCCCTCTTTTCCTTCCTCCTTCCCTCACCAACCCCTACCCGGCTCCAGCTCACTCCAGCCCTTCCTAGTGTCTCCCCAGAGTGGATTGATTGTCCTGGAGGGTGGGGCTGGGGGCAGAGGAACATGAGAACCTCCCCCAACTCGCCCACAGGTACTGGGATAATCCTTCTCTCTGGAGTCCCCCTAGGCCCATCCTGGGGTGTGTGTTTCAGTAGTGATGGGACAAGGAGTGAGGCAGAGCCCCAGACAGAGACAGGACAGAACCACAGGCAGAGATGGAGAGCGAGGCATACAGAGACAGAGATGGCAGCAGAGAGACCAGAGACAGAGAGACATGGAGGCAGAGAAGAGGGAGAGAGAGACCAAAACATGGGCACACAGAGAAAGACACACAAACATAGCCAGTTACCTAGAGACACAGAGAGAGACAGAGAGACAGGGACACAGAGGGAGACATAGGGAGGAGACTCAGGCAGCCATGGATAGGGCAGCTCTGGGTCGTCCAGCCCCAGCTCTGCAGCTCTCACTTCGACCTGGACCAGTACTTCCCCCCTATCTCCCTTTAGTCCTCAGCATCTCTTGTGATTATCCCAGGGGAAAGGCCCCCTACTCATTCTGTGGGAGCACAGGCGGCCCCATCCCCAGGCCCCCCGCCCCTACTCACTCGCTCATGCAGTGGGCGGCCGTGAGCACCCACTTGGGGTCTATCAGGACACCCCCACACTCAGGCTTATTGTAATTGTACACAGCTACCTGCCAGGGCTGGGAATGCTTCTGGCACTCCCAGCCTCCAATGATCCGGGACTGGATGGGGGATGCGGCACCTGTGGAGGGGGTGCTGGGTCAGGCAGGGCTGGGCTAGCAGGAAGGGCAGGGGACTGGGCTAAGAGAGGGAGCTGTGCTGTAGGATTGGGTGGGCCATCGGGGATGAGGACCAGGGCTGGAGGTGTGTGGAGATGGGAAGGAGTGTCGAGAAGGGCCCAGAATTCCACAGCCATACCTGAGATTGCAGGTAGGTGGCTGGCCACATAGTTTGACTGGGAAGAAGCAGGGGTGTCTGGTGGAATTTGGGGGTCATGGGATCAGGATTTGGTGACCAGATGTCAGGGACTAGGATGCAGTTGACAGCTGACAGCTGGTTGGGGAGACTTTATGCTCAGAGAGCAGAGCAGACCCCAGGGATCAGGGTGGGAGATGCCAAGATGGTGTGTGGAGCAGGCAGTTGGTTGGGGGGGGTCAGGTGATTAGACTGGGGGACAGGAAGTTGTGGGTTCTGAAAGGAGTAGCAGGTCCCAGAATCCAGGGACAAGAGCCCCAAGGGAGAGGGTTGGGGCTGGGAGAGGAAGGATTGGTAGGTTTAAGGGGTTCCAGGCTGAGGAAACGGTCAAAGCCTGGGTGGGCTATTGGAGTTCTGAGCTGGGTGCAGATTTAGGGAGTCAGGTCTGGGAGACCAAGAATAAACATCTGGGCTGGGAAATTTAGGGGTCACCTGGGGGTTCCTGGATAGGGGCTGAACGGAGTCAGTGGGGCTGAGAGAGTTAGGAAACTTAGGGGTTCCAGGTCAAAGGGTGAAAGAAATGGTTAGGGTTGAGGGCTGGCAGAGGGATCCTGTGAGGCTTTGGGGGCCTGTGATCCCAGAATAGCATTCTAAGAAGGGGTGAGGGGCCCTAGAGAACAGGGCTGGGTTCAGGGCTCTGGAGGAGGGAGGGGTGAGTCACTCTGGAATAGGCTGATTGAGGGCTCTTTGTTTCTGAAGGGGAAAGGGGTGAAGGTCTGCAAATACTGAAGGGATATGGGTTCTCTTGGGGTGCTGCCCAGGTAGGAATGGAGAAGGGGGGGAAGTGGGGGCCAAGCAGCTGTAGGGTAGAATAGAGGACCTGCTATGTATGAGGTCCCAGAATCACATATTGGACCAAGAAGATATTAGGGATCTCGGGACTCCAGAAAACCAGAGATGTAAAGGAGAGTTTCAGGTAAAGTAGGAGAAGGTCTGGAGCTGGGCGAGGGCTGTAATTACTGTGAGTAAAGGAGGTTGCTGTTGGGAGACCTGTGTGTTATTTTGGAGGGAGAAGTCTAGAGGTGTTGGAAGGGGGCGGGGGGGTCTGGGGCAAAGAGTTGGGGAAGGAGGGAAAGTTTGCAGAACCCCCATAGCAGGATGGGGGCCCATATAGAGTTATAGGCCAGAATGTTTGCCTGGGAAGAATCAGGGGTGTCTGGTGGGATTTGGGGGTCATGCGATCAGGATTTGGGGACTGTATGTCAGGGACTAGGGGCATGATTGAGAGCTGACAGCTGGTTGGGAAAAGTCAGGGGATTATGCTGGTATTTGAAGGATCAGGAGCCAGACCATTGGGCCATAGAGATCTAGGAGGTAGGAGGGATGATCAGGGTCCCAGGGACCAGTGGGACTAGGGGAGATCCTTGGAAGAGTTAGGGCCCCCAAAGAGAGAGAGAGACAGAGAAGGCCAGGCTCTGCCACTCTGGTAAAGGGGCTGGAGTCAGGGAGCTGTCTGGGGAAGAGATAAAGTTCTGGGGGTTCCTGTGAGGAGCAGGGACCTAGTGTGGGAATGAGGACTGTGAGGAGGGGCTAGGGGCAGGCTTTTAGGTGGGGCTGGGTGAGATAGGAAAGGAGCTGGTATCCGGGTCTGGGGTGGACTGTGGGCTGGACAGACAGAGGCTGGGGTGCTGAGTGGGAGGGAATAACTTATGGGGTGGGGAGCAACATGAGTCAGGGCCCACTCACCCTCCCACATCCTCCCCCTTCTGTCTCACCAGTGCCCCCCAGGGACAGGGCAAGGCACAGAACCAGGAACCACATGGTGACAGAGGTGTCCAGGGCCAGGCAGGCGAAGAGCTGGAAGCTGAGGAGCCTCTCTGGGGAGCCTTTAAAAGCCCTTATCCACCCCCCAGGGCCCCACCCCTGCCTTGCTGGCACCCAGATGCTGGCCAAGGCTCTGCCCATACTGCTGGGGGCTGGACAACCCCCTCCTACCCCCAGAGCTGTAGAAGGGGCGGGAACACCAGCACCTGTTGTCCTGAGGGCCCTGGATCACCCTGGACGCATTCCCAGGGGCTGAGGCCAGAGGGGGCAGGGCCTGTGGCTCCTGGAGCCTTGGTCTTAGGGACACCACCAATGAGTAGAGGCCGATGGGGGGACAGCAACAGGGGCTGGGAGAATTACTGATCCCCAATAGGAACTGTCATATGCCTAAACCTCATGTAAGGCCTTAACACCCCAAGTCCCAGTGTACCCTCAAATACCAGCAGTGGGGCTCTGAGATTCTCTAACCCCTGTACCACCCTGAGCCGAGATGGCAGCACCTCAGCTTCCAGCTCCCCCTACAAGTACACCTTAGCTGTAAGAACTCCCCGATTTCCGTGCTTCCCAAACCAGAATCTGGTTCCCCAAATCTATCATTCCCCTTATAATAAAATCTTGGGGTACAAATTACCCACAATCCTAGTTCCCCCAGATCTGAGAACATAAATAAAGTTCCAGGGGTCTCCTAGAACAAGTCCCCTAGCATTTCAAAATCCAGTGTTCCCCCTGAACAATGCTGGAGTCCCAGTGATTCCCCGCTTCTCGTTCCCTAGATCTGGACGTTCAAGCTGCTGTCCTTCAAAGTTCTAGGGAACCTAGATTCCCTGCCCTCCTAGGTCAAGAGCATTCTCAGTGCAAAATCCAATGCTCTCCCTGGCCCAAATAAAATATTTAGGACTCAGAACCAAGTTCAGGTACTTCAACATTCAGTAACCTTGGAAATCACATTTTGGGGTCTCTGAAGAGAATCAGGAACTAGATCCCTGCGGCCTCAACGGTAAACCCATAGGCTTCCAACACATTATCTTAGCTGTTCAGTAAAATCAGAGCAGCCTGATAAAATCTTTCCCCTTTCCTGGCTGAAGAAAGAAGAATATTTGCCATTTATCCATGGCTATCACTAAGGATCCCTGGTGGCACAACAGTTAAGCACTCCGCTGCTAACTGAAAGGTTGGCAGTTCAAACCCATCCAGCACCTCTGCTGAGGTGGGGGAGGGAAGGGAGGGAAGGCAAGAGAATGGTCCTGGGGTTCCTGCTGCCCCTGGGATGATGGGTGTTACCTCTCTGCCTGTCATTTGCTCATTTGTGAAGGAGTCTTTGGTTGGAGCCCTGGTGATGCAACAGTTAGGTGCTCAGCTGCTAACCAAAAGGATGGCAGTTTAACCCACCCAGCGGCTCCACTGGAGATCTCAAGACCTGGCGATCTGCTCTCGTAAAGATTACAGCCTAGAAAACCCTATGGGGCAGTTCCACTCTGTCTCATGGGGTCACTAGGAGTCAAAAATTGACTCATTGGCACCTAACAACATCAGAAATCCCAGAACTAAATCCTCAAGAAAAAGAAGTAATTCTTGGTCATCTAGTGTGTGCTAGGTGCTTTCACCGGCTATCCAGAGATACAGAGTATTTACCCGGCGCCAGGCACTCTGCCAATCAGTTCATATGAATGACCTCATTTAATCGTCAAGACAACACTATGAGGTAGCCAATATTATAATCCCCATTTTACAGATGAGGAAACCAAGGCTGAGTGAGACTGCGTCTCAGCTGCTCAAGATCATGTAGCTGGTCATATGCTGAATGAACAAAAGCCCTTTCTCCTCACTTAGGAATCAGGGCAGCGTGAAAAGGAACAGTGTAGGGTGGCTCTGGGTTCCCTATATGTCCCTTCTCCACCAGGCTCTTGCTCCCATTTCCCTCCATCCCCAGAAGAAAATCACAGAAACTTGGATCAGCACTCTCTGTTATCTTGGTGTTTAACAGGTGACCTTGACCACCAGCTCTGGCCTCAGAAGGCTAAATCTGAGCCTTGGACAGTGACTTGGGGGATAGCTCAATTCTGTCCCAGGTCAGGATGGGGCTGCCAGCCAGCCACTGGGGCTTCTGCTCAGTCAGGCACACAGGCAGTGAGCCAAAACAGTCAGTTCCTTCTCATGGTTTCTCTGATCCACTCCAGATAGCGGCACACTTTGGTATAGACACCAGGCTTGGTGGTGGTGTTGCAGGGGACATCACCCCAGGACACAATGCCTTGCAGGATCCCCCCATGGACCAAGGGTCCCCCGGAATCACCCTGTGGAGAGAAGAGGAGTCTCAGCTTGAGTGGGAACCACCTAGATTGAGCGCCCCATCCCCAACCTAATCCCATTCACAATCTCAACCAAACCCAATTCAACCCAACTCAGCCCAATAACCTCATCCCATGAAACCCCAACCCAACTCAATTTAATCCAACCCAATCCAACCCCATCTCATGCAGCCCTAACCCAGTTCAACTCAACTCAATCCAACCCAACCCAGCTTAACCCAAATCAATCCACTGCAACCCCACACAACTCCAACCCAACTAAACTCAATGAACCTAATTCCAACCCAACCCCAGGGCAACCTCAACCCAACTGAACTCAGCCCAACAACCCATCCCCCACATCTTCCCCATTCAAAATCAAACCAAACCCATGCCCATCCTCATATCCAATTCAACCTCTATCTCCAGATCTTCCACCCAATTTAACTCTCACAAATTTCCCATCTAAAAGCAAACAAAACTCATCCCCATTCCCAACCCCAATCCATGATATCTCAACCCAACCCCCAGGTAATTCATCCCAAACCCTACCCAACCCCAACTCTGACCTAAATTCTCCATTCTAACTACTCCTCCAACTTCATCACCAAACCTATCCCCAGCATATTCTCTGGTCCAATGCAAACCAGATCCAACCTCATCTGAACACCCAAACCTTTCCCCACCCCTCTTCCTACCCTCGACGGTCCCTCTCTCAGCTCTGACCTCACAAGAGTCGGTGCCTCCGCCCTCCACACCTGCACACAGCATTGAGTTCCTCAGGCGTCCAGGGTACTCCTTGTTACAAGATTCGGTGGAGATAATGCTAATGTTGGCACAATGCAACGTATCTGGGAGACTCACTGGGGAGGAAAGTGGATTTGGAGCCGTCTGATAAGTACAAAAGCCGCGGGAATAGGGTTCCTCAAGGGTTGACATCCAGCCCCTCTCACGCACCTTGAGGCTCGGGTCTCCCTCTGTTCCCATGCTCATCGTCCAACACCAGGCCCCAGCTGGATACCACGCAGGCCTCGCCTGCGCGGAGGCAGCGCGTGGGTAACGCCACGGGGCGCACTTGCCTGGTGAGGCGGGCTGGCCGTTCTAGCTTCAACACGACGTCGTGGCGCTGCTGCGCGCCTCAGGGCCTGGATGCGGGATGACTAAAGAAACAGTCCGCAAGTGTTCTGGACCGTCGCGCTTGCGCAGATTGTGCTCGCCCAGGCGCACGCGCATGAAGCTATGCGGGCGGGTGATTATCCACAAGTGGAGTGGGAAGTAGATGGGTATATCAAAGAGTGGGCAACCTGGCGTCCCCCGAACCTTCGGGAATCTGAAGATTCCATTATCCTCTCCTAAGACCCTGCAGCCAATGGTCCCAGCCCTTGACCCTCACACACCTGCAACTCCCTCTCCAGGCTCCAGACCTTCCTCCCTTAGAATCCAAGATTCTCAGACCCCCTAGACCCTTCCCAAGTGAGAACCTCAGGAACTGCGACCTTACTAGTCTTTCTCTCTCAGAAACCTAATAGTTCGAACCCCATTCCCCCTCCTTACTCAGTGGCTGGGATTCCAGCCTCTTCCTCCTTCAAAACCCAGGATACTCGAAACCCAGCAGTCCAGACCCCAGCCTCCACCTCCGAAAGCCCCAAGAGTTAGACCCTCCAGTCACGTTGTCTCAGGATTCTGAGCCCTGCCTTCATACTGGGTTTGGCAGTGGGCTGCAGACAGCACCCACTGTGGGGAGAAGAGGGAAGCACCACAGTTGAAGGGCCCTCTCTGGAAGAGGGCCACTTGCCACGGTTGGGAGTGAGCTGCACACTCCTCTTCTCGCAGATCCTGGGCCCCTGGGAGAGAAAGCAGAGGATCCCTGGGGACAGGGGCCTTTTCCTCACCCCCTACCCTGTCCTTGTGCCCCACCCTCCCTACATATTCTTCACTGACACCTTCCCTCAATTTCTTCAGAAGTCCCAAGTATTTTTTTTTTTTTTTAAGTTCTGTGGTCTCTCTAACTTTTACAGTTGCTGCTTATTTTCTCCAGAACTGTCCCCTTCCTCTCCCACCTCATTTGCTAGAGGACCCTGGGAGAGAGGGAAAGGATCAAGGGCAAGATGTCCTCTCACTGGGGGTGAGGACAGGGACACTAGATACAGGTTCAGACAAGTGGTCGATTGGCACCAGTCATTCAAGGTCACCAACCTGTCACAGAAGTCAAACAAGTGTGGCACCTCAATACCTATGACATGCAGTCCTGGCCCCAGATTCTGGACATCTTGGCCAAACTCAGTGCGTCCTACAAGGACACAGATGTAGCCACACAAGGTCATGACTATACACACATGCACAAATGGGTTTTCAAGCTTAGGAAGGGATATGGACAGTGCGCTTTAAGCTGAATTCACTTGCATATATATGGGTTGCATCTTCAAGAATCACTGCACAGATGTTCATGTGTATATATGAAAGTAGACATTTAAGGCATGGGTGCACGTGTGCGCACACACACACATTCACAGACACATTTGGACATAGAAGTTCAGGCCTACATTCACAGTCTCTAGTGTGGGTCTGGACATCTAGGGTCACAGACACACATACTTGCACAAAGGATCTGGACATACAATATGGGGTCTTTAATAGGAGTACATAGAAAAAAATACCAATATGCACTCAGGTCTCCAAAGTTTTGTTCACAGATATAGGTCTATAGTATGGTGATTAAATCAAGAGTGAAACCATCTGGGTTCAAACGTATTAGCTGTGAGACTTGGAGCAAATTATTTGACCTCTGTGTCTCAGTTTCTTCATCTGTAAAATGGGGATTGTTGTAAGGATTAAATCGGAGAATATGTGTGTATATATACGTATCATTTTATATATATATATATGTTATACATGTATGCGGTATATATATAGTATATGTTGTTGTTGATAGTTGCCGTCAAGTTGATTGTGACACATGGCGTCCCCATGTGTTACAGAGTAGAACTGCTCCATACGGTTTTCAAGGCTGTGACCTTTTGGAAGCAGATCACCAGGCATGTCTTCCAAGGCACCTATGAGTGGGTTCGAAACACCAACCTTTTGGCTAGTAGTCAAACACTTAACCATTAGAGCTACCGAGGGACTTCATATATATGTGTATATATAAATTATATATATGTATATATACACGCACACACACGTTGTTGAGTTGGGTGCCGTCGAGTCGATTCCAACTCATTGTGGCCCCATGTGACAGAGTAGAACTGCCCCATAGGGTTTTCTATGCTGTAATCTTTACAGGAGCAGATTGTCAGGTCTTTCTCCCATGGAACTGCTGGGTAGTTTGAACTGCCAACCCTTCAGTTAGCAGCTAAGTGCTTAACTGTTATACCACCAGAGTACATATATATATGTATTGTCTTGGCACATAATAACACTTAATGAATGTTAGTTATTTTTAACCAAGGACACACGGATTTATTTATGAGAACATACATGTGGACATTCAGGTTGTGGACGCAAATATGGCCAAAGTAAGTCAGACACATGTGCAGACCCAGATAAAGGATAAATCAGGGTCAAAGCTGATTCATCCACAGGCTACCTAGTGGAGATTCAAAGTTGCAGACACAGACCCAGAGGCCAGACACTCAGATGTGGCTCCACTAGATCAGACCCCAAGGCAACATCTGGACCCACGGCTGAGCATTTAGGGTCAATGTCACATAGTGGAGACATGGGAATTCAGCACAGGACATATTTACCCATCTCTAGGTCAGAGCCAGGAGCTCTGGTGGTGCAATGGTTAAGCACTTGGCTACTAACCAAAAGGTTCAGTTCAAACCCACCTATTGGATCTACAGGAGCAAGATCTGGCGATCTGCTCCCATAAAGATTAAAAAACAACAACAACAAAATCTGTTTTTACAGAAGCAGACTGCCACATCTTTCTCCTGCAGAGCGGCTGGCGGGTTCGACCTTTTGGTTAGCCAGCTAAGTGCTTAACCACTGTGCCACCAGGACTCCTTCTGTAAAGATTACAGCCTAGAAAACCCTATGGGGCAGTTCCACTCTGCCACAGGGGTCGCTATGAGCCAGAATCGACTCCATGCCACCCAACAGCAACAACAGGTCAGAGCCCAAGTCAGATACGCGGTGATCAAGGTCACTCACTGGGTTTCGCATATGGGGACACGGTTCACACACGTGAGGAGAATGTGGATACACAGAGCCTTGCACACACGGACACACACACAGAACTGCACCATGAACAAAGACACAGGAATGTTTGAAGGTCACAGGATCAGATCCCACGCACACAGGCAATGTGGATGTGACACATCAAGGTCACAGCCACGCATACACACAGACACCCACACCCAAACAAGGTTTGCACAGCCAGACCCAATGTTCACACTCCGTCTGCCAAGGTCAGGAGCTGGGTGGAGGGCCCTGGGGAGGCTGGGGGAACACGGATGTAGTGGATGAGGGGTTTAACAAAGGAAGGGTGAGGTTCTCCTAAGGAGAAGGGTGGAGGGCACAGGCTGAACAGCTGGCCACCAAGGCTGCACCTGGCCAGTCCCAGCCGGAGGTGGGCGGAGGCCCCAGGTGGGTGCAGCAGGTAGGCGGGGGCAGGGAGGGCAGAGGGGACAGAGAGAGCCTGAGGGGAGGCTGGCAGCATGGGGGAGGTCTGAGGAGTACCCACAGCCGAGGGGTGGTTGTGGTGGGGAGTTAATGAACGTCAACCCCCACCTTCTCCCATGTCAGAGCATCAGGTTACAGGTAATTTCTCCTCCAGTGAGTGATTGTGGTCTCTGGAGTACCCCCCCCCGCCCCCCACGGCCCAGGGTGACCTTGACCTAGTGGCCACCCCTCCCTGAGCCACAGGCCCTTCCTCTGTCAAATGAGGCTGGTATTGCCCACCCCATAGGGATGTGGTGAGGATGCTGTTCGTGAGTGCCGAGTGCCAAGCCCCGCACATACTAAGCACTCAGCAACGCTGTTGTTCTGTTGTTTTTGGGTGCCATGGAGTCAATTTTTGACTCATAGCAACCCCATGTGACAGAGTAGAACTGCCCCATAGGGTTTTCTAGGCTGTAATCCTTACAGAACGAGCCTTGGTTGCGCAGTGGGTAAGCACTCAGCTGCTAACTGAAAGATGGAAGCCACCAGCAGCTCCACCGGAGAAAGATATGGCAGCCTGCTGCTGTAAAGATTACAGCCTTGGAAACCCTACTCTGTCCTTTAGGGTTGCTGGGAGTCGGAATCAGTTCAACAGCAATGGGTTTGGTTTGGTTTCATCTTTACAGAAGCAGATCACCAGGTCTTTCTCCCATGGAGCCACAGGGTGGGTTCGAACTGCCAACCTTTTGGTTAGCAGCCAAGTGCTTAACCCTTGAACCACCAGGGCTCCTTGCACACTCTTACAGAGCATTATCCTGGGCCAGGCACACAGGACCACACTTAAACCTCACAACCCTGAGAGGGATGGCTGTTATTGTCTCCATTTTACAGCCACAGAGATGTTAAGTAGCTAGGAAGTGGCACAGCCAGGATTCGAACCCAGAGTCTGTGCTTCTGGCCTCTCAACACTCATTTAATGCTTATGATGGGCTTTTTCTAAGGATCCCCAGTGGTGCAAACGATTAAGTGCTGGGCTGCTTACTGAAAGGTTGGCAGTTCAAACCCCCCCAGTGGCTCCTCAGGAGAAAGACCTGGTGATCTGCTCCTATAAAGATCACAGCCTAGCAAGCCCTATGGGGCAGGTCTACTCTGTCACATGGGGTCCCTATGAGTCAGAATTGATTCCACAGCACCTGACTGAACAACCAACAACAGGCTTTCCCTATATTGTACCATTTGAACCTCACGATAATTTTTACAGGTAGCTGCCGTCTTCTAGAGAAGGCACGGAGGCCCAGAGAGTGAAGTCAGTACCTCAAGGTCACACAGCAAGGAAGGAGTTTGAACTCAGGTCTATGTGACACCCCCCCACCCGAGGCCATGTTCATGGCTACAAGCATTGAGAGGACTCTGGCCACACAGGGACTCCAGGGCCACCCCAGGCCCCTGATGGCTCTGGGGCAGGGAGGTGACTCAGGGATGTTGGTAGGTGACTAAGGTGGAGTGTGGGGACCAGGGAGCAATCATCAGGTGGTTTCTGGGTGAGGGAGGGGCTGGCAAAGGGCTCACACATGTGGAGGGAGGGGGCCACTACATTCCCACAGACCTGGACCCGACCTCAGCCCACCTCACCTGCAGATGTCAGCAGGATGGAGAAGGTGAGGAGAAGCCACATGGTGGAGGAAGGACCAGGGATGAGCCAGTGTCTGGGTGCGTGGGTGGGGAGAGTGAGCCAGCTGAGGCTGGACCCTCCTATCCAATCAGGATCCCTTCAGACAAACTCATCTCATGCACTGCTCAAGAAACTTCCTGTCACCACTCCCATCCGTCCCCCAAACCCAACCTGCTCTTCCACCCTGGCTTCCCATCTCGTGAGGGTCTACTGTTTCCCCAGACACTGTGACAGACCCCAGGGGTCCCCAAAACCTGTCAGACCTCAGCATCACCCCACTTGCACCCTGGATGTCTCTGTCCCTGAGGTCAGGCTCAGGCCACATCCCTCTCTGGACTCTACCCCAGCCTCCTTCCTGGCCTCCCTGCCTCCAGTCTCTTCCCTCCAGTCCATTCCCCACATGGCCCCTGAGGGCTTTCGCCACCAGAGCTGATCCTGCCCCTCCCATGCTCACAACCCTCCCGTAGCCCCCAGCACCCCCCGATGAAGCTCAGCCCCTCAGCCTCACTCTCATGGACATGAGTGGTGCCCCCCCTCCACCCTTTCTGGCCGGGACACTCACAACCCTCTCTTTCTAGACACAGCCAAAAAAAAAAAACCAAACCCGTTGCCATCAAGTCAATTCTGACTCATAGCAACGCCCCGTGTTACAGAGTAGAGCTGCCCCATAGGGTTTTTTGCTGTAATCTTTATGGAAGCAGATCGCCAGACCTTTCTTCCACAGCACCACTGGTTGGGTTCGAACCGCCAACCTTTCGGTTAGTAGTCGAGCACAAGCCATTTGCGCCACCCAGGGTCCTCCTAGACACAGCCAGTTCTTCTATTTTCTCTCCTGCAATTTTGTGCCTTGACTTAGGAAATAAAAAATTGACATCTTCTGTCTATGCATATAAGGAATGTGACCCAGCTGGAGCAATGAGGACGCATCAGCTGGGCCCTGAGCTATAGAAACAATAGCTAAGACGATCTTGGAAAACATCTTTGAGGAACTCTTTCACACAAACAAAATACTTAGATAGAGCACATAAGACCTACCTATTTTCCCCTCTTATCTTTTTCCCTTAAAAAACAAAATCCATTGCCGTTGAGCACAGTGAAGTCCGACTCCTAGCGACCCTATAGGACAGAGTAGAACTGCCCCGGGTTTCCAAGGAACAGCTGGTGGATCTGAACTGCCAACCTTTTTGTTAGCAGCCAAGCTCTTAACCACTGCGCCACCAGGGTTGCTCTTTTTCCCTTAGCATTCAGTAAATAGTAAGATTTGTTGGACCAATGAAGACCCTCCTAACTGTCGTTATTGAAACTTGTACCAATGATTATTAAGCAAAACAACTTAAAATGTAGAATCATGGTGATTTAGCAGTTTTTAGCCAATCTGTGAAAAGGTGAAGCTTTTAATGATTTTACCCATTTGTAATGTCAAAATACTGATGATTCTGTAACATTCCTCAGACTTGGACGGACATAGCTCTGGCAGCGTGTTTGTCCCCTTCCCACTTTTGTCTCTTGGCACCTAAGCCGAATAAAATCTTCCTTCTAGCTTTACTATACCTTTGTGGTGTTACCCTAAGACAGCCTCCACGCCTTTGCCCAGGCTGTTCCTCCTTCAGGCACGCCGTTCCCTGCACAGCCCACTTTCTCCTTAAAGCCTGTTCTGACCTCCCCCACCACTGAGGGTGAGCTGCTCAGAACTGTCTGTCCCCTCCACCGGACTGGGAACTAACTAACTCCCTGAGGACAGGGGACCGGTCTGACTGAACTGGGACTCCCAGTATCTCCACAGGAGGCCTCGAGATAGCTTTCTGGCCCCAAAGACCTTCTTCTCATTCACTGAACTCGCTGAACTTGCATTTGTGATTTGAGGCCCTGTCTCCACCTCTTCAGTGGGGGAGGGGTCTCTTCTGTTTCCACAGCACCGCTTCTGCCTTTGTTACTGCACAGACTCCCAGAAATGCTGATGTCTGGGACACTCCCGCACTGCCTGACCCCCTCCCCCAGGAAAGGGCTGGGGTGGGGTCCTCGCTGTGTCCCCAGCACCACACAGCTGTGGCCTGGCACGTTGGAGGCCTGCAGGAGGTGGTCTGAACCGACTTGAACCTGTGATACCTCCTGACCTCGTTCTTGGCTCTGGTACAGGTGCTTTCCAGCCTTTGGGACATCCTCCTGGTTCAGCCTGTCCCCTCCCCCACTCCCACGCGACTCCTTCGTGTGTCTCCAGGAGGTTTTCCTGGTTCAGGTTAACTCAGGGCCTCAGTCAAGGACACATGGCCCTACCCGCTGCCCTTCCCCCAGAGCGGCCCGTGTCCCCTCCCAGACAAGGATGATCCATATCTCCTCCCCAGGGACCAGGGTAGCTCCTGTCGCCACCCCTCCCCAGGCCAGGGTGGCCCATGTCTCCCCCAGACTAGAGTGGTTTGTGTCCTCCCCCAGTCCAGGGCAGCCTGTGTCCCCCCAAGCTCCCCAGACCAGGTTGGACCATGATTCCCCCACCTGAGACCAGGGTGGCCCCTGTCCCCCCAAACCAAGGTGTTCCATATCCCTCAGACCAGAGTGGCTTGTATTCCCCCAGACCAAGGCAGCCTGTGTCTTCCCCAGACCAGAGTGGCCCATGTCCCCCCAGACCAGAGTAGCCTGTGCCCTCCCCAGACCAGGGCAACCCATGTCTCCCCAACACCAGGGCAGGCCCATCTCCCCTCAGACCATGATCCCCATAGCCTTATGTCCTCCCCTCACCCCCACTCCTGTCTCAAAGATCTCACCACCACCAGATCCTCCAGTGGCATCTGGGGCAGCTTGGATGCCAGAGGAAGGGGAGCAGGCACCCGCATGCCTGAATTTATAAGCTTCCAGCCCCACCCTGGCTCGGGGGTGAGGTAGGGGGTGGCTGAGAGCCTGGTTTACAGGCGAAGACGTCTTGGTGGCTGGGGGGGCAGGGGACCAGCCCTAATGAGCATTTATGAGGCTGAAGCTTTTGTCTGAGTCTAGGAGGAAAAATTACCCACCAAGGGGCAGTTCCCCATGGGGGAGGGGACAGGAGGGTAGAGCAGAGAATTGGAGGAGATCAAAATACAGAGCCTGGAGTCTGGAGTTTATAATATAATCTGGACTTTGGGGTCTGGAGTGTGGAAATTGGATTCTAGAGTAATGCTTCTTGTGCCTGGAGTAGGAGTCTGGATCTCAAATTCTGGATTCAGGGATCTAGATTTTGGCACTCATGACCTGAAGTCTGGAGTGTGGATTTTGGAGTCTGAGTTGTAGGGTGTGGGAACTTGAATCTGGATCCTGGAGTTGGGACTAGGAGTCTGACGTCTGGTGTTTGGAATCTGGGGCTTGAGGTCCAAAACCTTCACACGTGCTGTGTGAAGCCTGGGGCATGGAATCTGAATTATAGATTTTGGATTTTGAGGTTTGAGGCCTGGATTCTAGAGTCTGGGTCTAGACTTTGAGGTCTTATGGGCAGACTGTGGAACATAAAGTCTAGAGTTTTAAATATGCATTGTGCAATTAAGAGTCTAGACTAGGTGGCTTGGGCCTGGCTTCCATGATTCTGGGATCTAGAGTCCCAACTCTAGACTATGAAGTTAGAGTCTGGGAGCCTGGAGTCCTCTATTCTGGATCCTGAGACTTGAGTTTGGGTTCTGGGGCTTGAAATCTGGATTCTGCATTCCGGAGGCTGGAGATCATTAATAAGATAACCAAAGGCTTTGGGAATTTGAGGCTAAGTTCCCTTGTCTCAGAACCACAGAGGCTCTTGAGCAATTGTCTAGATTCCATTCTGGCTTGTTTAACAAACAAGAGAGAGCAGGAGGGATTGACCTCAAGTTACACAATGAAGGATGGAGGCTGTGATAAACATGGTCCCTCTCTATGTCTGGAAAACCATCACCTTTCTGAGAAGGGATGCATGACAGGGGCTGACTGTCTTGGAGATCAGTAGCCAATGCATAGGGCTCCTTGGCCCTCAATTTCACCACAGACAATAGGAGGGGAGAGGGATGGCAACTGAGCCTCCTAGTATCTTTCAGGCATTCCAGAACCACAGAATCTCAGTTATTCCAGAACCCTAGGGCTTCAGTCATTCTAGAATGACAGGCTCTCAAAATTTCTAGAATATCCTCCAGATCCTAGAATTGCAGACTCTAAGACATTCTAGTAGCCTGGGTCCTCAGCTACTTCAGAACCAAAGATTTTAAAATAGTCTAAAACCATACATCTTCAAACATTCTAGAGCCCTGGCTCTTCAGACGTTCTAGAACCCCCAGTCTTTCAGACACTCTAGAACTTCAGATCTGCAGACATTCTAGAAACTCAGACAGTCAGCCATTCTGGATCTCAGGCCAGAAGATATTCTAGAACTCCTTTGTCTCTGCAGAAATTCATGCTCAACATCTTGGGACCTCACCTGAGCCACAGCTTCAGTTGGCCAGTTGCTGTTCATGGGGTGTTGGCCACCCCCACGCTCTCCTTGCATTATCTCGTTTAGCCTCCTGACAAACCTGTGACGTGGTTATTATCACTTCCCCCTCAACAGAGAGGAAATGGAAGCCCAGGGAGGGAGAGTTACGGGTAAAGGGCATGAAACTGGCAAGAGGCAGAGCGGGACAGGAATCCAGTACCCTAACTCTGGGTCTGTGGTATGTGAACATGGGCTGGCCCATTTGCTGCCCACCTGGAGGCACCTCCCTCCCTGCCCCATTGGAGAGGGAAGGACCTGGGTGGTGGTGGTGGTGAGGCAAAGGAGGTGAGTTTTGGAGCTACTAATTACAGCAACTGGAGTGTAAGGGGAGTTCCTGGGTTATGCAAACTGTTAATGCACTTGACTGCTAACTGAAAGATGGGTGGTTCAAGTCCACTCAGGTGCCTCAGAAGAAAGGTCTGGCGATCTACTTCTGAAAAATCAGCCATTGAAAACCCTATGAAGCACAGTTCTACTCTGACACACATGAGGTTGCCATGAGTCAGAGTCAACTTGATGACAGCTGGTGGTGGTGGTGGTGGTGGTG